ATTCCTGAAGTATTTATCTACAGAATGAGAGCAATTTCATTAATTTTGACCGTTTCAAAGCTTCAAAAAATGAATTCAATGTTCATACGTTTTGCATGGAGGGAGCACCCAATGCATGTATTGAATTTGTTTAATAATTATTTATATGATAACTAATCGTCAGATTTTGAAATAAAACTACCAAAGTATTCAATTAGATGAAACAAATGAATAAAAATAACATGACATTTTTTTACCGCACCAAACTATAAATATATTGACAGAAAGTTAAAAAAAAATTAAATTATATGAACTTTCATACGAACGAATAGAGTGGGGAGTTAAACTGTCGCTCTCACTACCCCACTCTAGTAAGCGGCCCGGTAAACTTTTGGCCAGAGCCAGCTGCGCGACTAATACCTTAAAGAGGTTTTTCCGCTAAAATAGTGTAGGTACTAAATTTGACATTCATTAAATATTTTAGTACATTTTTGTTATTGAAGTATCCCAGGCGCGAAAGACCAATGCTGACGATGGGTTGAAGCTTGATTGAGTCTTGAACGCCCAGCGTGGGTAACCCAGAGTTGAAGCAGTCTTTATATCATTGTCTCTCAATATTGGTTCAGCATGGGACACCAATGTTCAACCCATGCTCGATTCAAGACTCGGTCAATCTTCGTGAGTGAAGCTTGAACATCCCATCTTTATTCAAGCTTGAATCAATCTTGATAGTTTATTTATTACCGTGTGCACTTAACAATATTAGATATAAATATTTATAAATTATTTAATATTAAAATATTTTTTATGATAATTTTGTATACTATTTAAAAATTATTATTAATTATTATTATTAAGATATCAATTGGTAAATAAATATTAATATTTATTTAGTGTATAATATTTATATTAATTATTAATAATAATTATTATTATTATCGTTATTTTTATATTATTATTATATTATTTATTACTATTAATTATATAAGGTTCATATAAATAAAGTTAAATTATATGTTATTATTTTTTTCTTGCACAGTGTCAAATTATTGTTTTCAAAGTTCAAGAGTGCAAAAATGTTCATTAGGGTGTAATAAATATTTATGCCTAGTAGTTGTACACTTGGATCAACTGTTTAGTAAATAATATCAAAAAACTATTTTTTGTCAAACGCGTGCGACTAAATACAAATAACCTTGAGACTTTAGCATTGCCAACTCAAGAGTTTAACGTATGTGTTGAGTTGGTAATGCTGGAGTTTCAAGGTTATTTGTGTTTAGTCGCGCGCGTTTGACAAAAAATAGTTTTTTGATAATATTTACTAAACAGTCAATCCTAGTGTACAACTACTAGGCATAAATATTTATTACACCCAAATGAACATTTTTTCACTGAAAATTTTTCAGATAAACGAAACTCTTGAACTTTGAAATTAATAATTTGACACGTACAAGAAAAAAAATAATATATATAATTTAACTTATAAAATTATCATAAAAAATATTTTAATATTAAATATAATTTATAAATATTTATAGATAATATTGTACAGTGCACACGGTAATAAAGAAACTGAATATTGTATCAAGATTGACCGAGTCTTGAATCGAGCATGGGACGAACATTGGTGTCCCATGCTGAACCAATATTGACTGACACTGACGGCACTGGCATTGATATAGTAAATTAGGCGAGAAGCCTTCCAGCCTTCTGTGGCGAATAATTTTTCATTCTTTGTTTTAAGCGTCATATAAAATAATAAAATTGTGTGTTGTGTTGTGAATAAAAAATGTGAACATGTTTATAAATAATGTTAAAAGTGTTAAAAATCAAGAAAAAAATGTAACGATTAACAGAAAAATTGTATTTTTTTACTAAAATTATTTTTTTAGTATTGCTATTTCAAATGACATTTATTGTTAGTAATATATTATTTATATGAAAATAATATAATTATTATAATAGTAACTTATTGTCATTAAATATATATATACACACATACATGAATTAAAATAATAACAATAATATTTATTATTATTAATAATTCATATATTCAAATTATATTGAATAAACGTGAGAAACGAGTAAATTTGGGAACAGTGGAAGCAGTCTTGTTTCAGTCCTGCATTAGGCTTCCGCAGCATTGATTGATCATTGGTGTCCAATGCTGAATCAAGGCTCGCGCTGCAGTCTGGAATCGGTGTTACATTAAAGCTTCGATCATTCCTGCTCTCGCTGATTCACTCATGCTCAATCAATGTTGACCAATGCTCGGCCAATCTTTATAAAGCCTGAACTCGGCGTCACTTCGCGCCTGGGATATGTTCAAAAGGAAACTACAAGATCTTGAATATTTTTAAAGTTACGCGATGAAAAACGCAAAAGTGACATGCCACGGACCTGACATTGTGCCACGGTCCTGACATGTGTGTCACAGTTAGAACACGTAAATAAATAAATAACCGAATAAATATTTTCTTTTCAATGTTCGCACTTCAAAATAATGTCAGTAGAAGTCAATTAAAAATAAAATTGAGTAGTAAATTCACGATTTCGTTAACAAGTGTAGGTACAAAGTAATTAACAATTTAAAACATGAAAAAGTGCTCGTGTACGTAGAATATCATTATAATAAAAATATTTTTATATGTAAAACATCAAGTTAGATTTGGCCTACAAAGTACTCAAAAGATAGTCTCAATATTTGATCACCTAACAATTTCAGAACAAAATTAAAAAAAACGTATGCCACGAACCTGACAATTTTACCATTAACCCCCTGACTGTGGATGACGTGTATACACGTCATGGTCCAAACAAGAAAACATCTTAACGTATATTCGCAAAAATTCTTACTCGGGGGTTTTTAGGGTCGCTGATCACGATTCTGAAGTCAGATTTTCAAAATAAATAATTTTTCATCCAAAATGGCCGCCAAAATTTTTGAAATATTTCAAAAGTGGATAAATTCTTTTAAAAATTCTTACTTGGGGGTTTTTGGGGTCGCTGATCACGATTCTGAAGTCATATTTTCAAAATACATTATTTTTCATCCAAAATGTCCGCCAAAAAATTTCAAAAGTGGATAAATTCTTTTAAAAATTCTTACCATTTAAACTTTGAAAAACTAATAACAGATTCATAATCAGCGACCCCAAAAACCCCCGAATAACGAATTTAAGCGTATCCAATGAATTTTTCAAAATCGTGACCGCCATTTTGGATCCGCCATTTTGAATTTCAAAAAACTAATGTCATATTCATAATCAGCGACCACGAAAACCCCCGAATAACGAATTTAAGCGAATCCAATGAATTTTTTAAATTCGTGTCCGCAATTTTGGATCCGCCATTTTAAATTTTAAAAAACTAATGTTATATTCATAATCAGCGACCATGAAAACCCCCGAGTAACGAATTTTAAGCGAATCCAAAGAATTTTTCAAAATCTTGTCCGCCATATTGGATCCGCCATTTTGAGTTTTTGAAAACTAACATTGGAATCGTAATCAGCGACCCCAAAAACCCTTAAGTACCTAGTGTCATGAAAATTTATTCACCAGAAGGTCTTACACATTTTGGGACCATTTTGTTATATTTTAGCTACACACTGAAGGGGTTAAGTGATTTATGAAGTGATTGTCAAAAAAAAATGATTTTATTAGTTATTTATCTATGGGGTCATGCAAATATGACAGTTATTTGAAAATCACCCATATAGTTCAAAATTAAGGCCTTAATATAAAAGCCCAGCTATATTATCAAAGAAAGATTATCCCCCGTGGTAGTTATAAAATAAAAAATATGTTTAATTTAATTCAGTTTGAAATTTTCCTGTGTTTTTTCAGTGATAGAAATTAATTTCTATAAATTTTGAGAAAAATACGCGAACTGCTTACATAACCTTATTTATAGTAATACAACCCAATTTTTTGATATATTTACACACGGCATGTTTCATAACGCAAAAATTGTAATTTTACTTTGAGGTTGTGCAATAACACGCGGATTGTTTAATTACATTTAGGTCGTGTTTTACTACTAGCAGCTTGTAAGCTTACTACGTTGGACGTGAAGCAAATAATTTCCAACGTCCGACGTTGTAAATTAACAACGGAATTTTTTAGAGTGTGTCCTTAGTATAATTTCAGTCTGTTTTTTTAAATGTTTCGATAGAAATTTTTAAAGTCCTTTAACAATAGTTTCAAATGTAGGTTATGTCAACAAACCATTAATCCATGAAGTAGTATAAGGAGACCAAACGAAATACATTATAAATGGGCCAGATTTCGGTACCCGCTTAGTAGGTGAAAAATACCGAAAGGAACACTAGCGCTGCGCATGGGAAAAATGGAAAACACAGTTCATACACAATTGATAGAATTATAACACTGAAAATAACACTATAATTATTTTTCTGTAAGTGTCTCAATGTAAGACGTTTTGTCCCCACTTTTAAAACATTTGAGGTGTTTTATCTCAAAATTATTAAGGTAAAACACCTCAAATGTTTCAAAAGTGGGGACAGAAACGTCTTACATTGAGACACTGTTTTTACAGTGTACTTCATGCATTAATCACTGTTAGGCCATAAACATTACCTATAACTCCCACGGGTGAGCTGCTTTACCATATTGAAGGGCTGGCTGCAATAAGGGGACGAACGCATGGTTGAAAGGGATAGTACCAGTCAGGTAGCAGTGAGCCGCTCAAGGCTTTTACTGATACCTGACTGGTAGTATCCCTTCCAAGTCTAGCGTTCGTCCCCTTATTGCAGCCAGAACTTCAATTGTGAATGCCTCTCTGCCGTAGTTTAAGTAACGCAACGGTCACCACAACTGATACAGCTGCTCACCCAAAAACTTTTCCGTGCACAAATTCAGTTTAAATACATAGCAAATTCGTATTGAAATTGCACTGAACTCTCGGTATAAATTTCGCAGACAAGCTTAATGCAAACTTTTTGGATGCTTGGGGATAATATAAGAAAACTTAATGTTATAGACAAAAACCAAACTTACCGAGCTTATTTTTTGAAATAAACTTGATAACAAAACTAACGTCGTTTAGAGCACCTTCGTAGTGATTTTCAGCAATTACTTTAGCCATTTCCGGTGCAAACTTTGTAGAAATACAAGGAGCAAAGCGATTGCTTTTCCAAAAGTGAGTCACCTTACCTCCTTCTACAAGTGACATTTTAATATACATTTGACCTCGTAGCATTTCATGTTCATGCATTGTTTGCATAGAACATCTCAGTCGTAAGAGTGTTAGGACTAGCGATCCTCCACTTACATCTTTTCTATCACTTTTCTCCTGGCACAAGGAGACTTCAACTTGTCCTTTTTTATTTTCCCTCTGTAAATTAAAAAACACATTTTAAGAATCATTTTACAGAAGACATGTCATAAAAATATCAAAGGTTTAAGAATCGAACTCCGCTAATTTTTGAAAGATTTAACCGTTCCCCTCCACCCCTTCGTAATGCAATGTTACGCACATTAGCGCCATTGTTTGCTTAACGTAACGAATAGCTTTAACCCCCCCATTATAAACGTTACGTAATATATGCAAAAAAATATGGTTTAACTTATATATAAAAAACAAGTTTCAGAAAAACACTGCAAAAACTGGTATCTCACAAGTGTCTCAAAATGAGTTGCTTTAACCCTTTAATGGCCAGTGGTACACATACGTACCACCTACTTCAATAAATAATAACTTTCTTAAAACTTAACGGATCAACTTCGCTAAGGTCTCATTTTGAAGGGGTGAGCGAGAGTAACAAATACATATGAATGCCATTTTCTAAAATACTACCCTTTATGAAATACACCCCTTCAAAAAACGCAAAAAATGACAAAAATTTAAAAAAAGGTATAAATTCAAGAAAAAAATTTTTTTTCCGGGTTTCAAAGTAACATATGTTTTAAAATATTATAAACTTTGTAAAAAAAATTAATAAGAAAATTTTACCTCAGGGTAAAAAAATAAATGAAAACTATCCCAAAAAAACGAAACAATTTAAAAATCTGCCAAATTCGCCTAAAATTAGTTACTCGGGGGTTTTTGGGGTCGCTGTTTACGAATCCAATGTTTGTTTTCAAAAATTCAAAATGGCGGATCCAACATGGCGGACGATAAATTAAAAATTCATCAGATTCGTCCAAAAATTGTTACTTGGGGCTTTTCGGGGTCGCTGCTTACGAATCCGATGTCAGATTTCAAAAATTCAAAATGGCGGATCCAACATGGCGGACGATAAATTTAAAAATCTACCAAATTCGCATAAAATTTGTTCATCGGGGGTTTGCAGGGTCGCTTATTACGAATCCGATGTCAGTTTTCAAAAATTCAAAATGGCGGATTCAATATGGCAGACAAAAAAATAAAAAAAATTTATCAGATTCGCCTGAATCTTGTTATGCAGTTAGTATGGGTGGTTTCGAGGGGTGTGCTTAATAATATTATCCACATCTGTGTCACTTAGAAACCTTATTTTTATAATTTAGAAGCATTTAGAAGCTATAGATTTTTTTTATCATTCACAAAAACTTTTATCAACAAGGGGTGGTTATTTGACCATGGGGTTGTTTTTAGAGGCTAGTTTACATTTACTAGCATTACCTAGTCATCATACAAATATTTTTTTCTATTTTCGAAACGTATAGAATCTATAAAAATTATTTTCTTAATTGTTCAAAACTATTGACAGTATGTAAGAATAATTATGAAATAGGGTTGGGTTCCAAGGGGGGTGTTTAACATTATTATCCATATTTGTGTAACTTAGAAATATTTTTTTAAAATTTAGATGCATTTATAGAATCTATAGATTTTTTTTAAATATTCACAAAAACTCTTATCGTCAAGGGGTGGCTATTTGACTTTAAGGGTGGTGTTCAAGTGGTTATTTATAATTATTTTTTATTTTTAAACAACCAGACAATATTTATAAATAATTATAAAGCAGACAGGAGCTAAAAATATTCAATTTATTACTTAGATTAATTATCCATTTTTTTGGGTAGTAATATACGTTAAGGGTGGTTTTAAGGGGTGGAACATGTTAAAAAAAATGTTTTTCTCATATTGAATAATAAAATAATCGAATTTACTAAACATTATACATTTATAATAACGGCAAAAAACTCGGCCATTAAAGGGTTAAGTGTTTAAACCATTGAGATACAAAATACGTTTCATATTGAGACATTTCATTTCGTGCCCATTGTAGAACCGACTTAAGACACATATCCCGTCTCCTAACTGTAAGACGGATACTCGAAACACATATCGTGTCTCAAAATGAACCACTAAGAGAGTAAAACACTTCAACTATCTTAACGCATGCGCGCAATAGCTACGCATACAATAAAATTTTTTTTTGCAACACTAACCTGTAAAATTGAATTTTACACACAGAAAACTGTGTGTAAAGTACTTCATTTTATAGCGGTGTGTAAAGTGTTACTTTACACACCGCTAGCAGTGTGTAAAATGAATTCCAGTGTGTAAAGTGATTTTCAGTGCGTAAAATGATTACTTTACGCATTCTTGTGACTGTTTGATGAGAAACCATGAATTAAAGCTTTTAAACAACAATTTACAATCACATTTTTATTTTAGCTTCTAGAAAACTTCATTTAACAGTTCCCCCACTACACCTAAACTTTCAGTAATATTGGCAATATTGCTGCAAGTTTAGTTGTTTTAGTGTTGCAAAAAATTTTGTATGACACTCGTGCGTAAATCAGATTATACTTGTGTGACTTGCAGCACTCGCCTTCGGCTCGAGCTGCAAACGTCACACTCGTATAATCAACGATTTTACGCACTTGTATCATAAATAACTATTTTGCAACACTAACTTGTAAAATTGAATTATACACACAGAAAACTGTGTGTAAAGTACTTCTTTTTATAGCGCCCTGCCAGATTTGGATTTACTATATGTCCACCAGGAAGGAAGAGTAAGGAGACCGAACTCTGTGCAGATAGCGCTTTGAAAATGTCTGAGAAATATGTACGAAAAGTGCCAGGTTCGATGCGTTCTAGTCGACCACCAAATGAGTTGATCATGCGCATAAGCTGTGTTGTGTCTCTGTTTCTCGTAAAAATTGTGCGAGTGAGATGTAATATCTAATGTTTACATTTAGCCGGTCTTAGTGAGATACATATATAATACGTTTCGTTTTAAAAATTATTTATTTATTTTATTTAAAAAAATGTCGTGTTGTGTGCCAGGATGTAAAGAAAGAAAAAGAGTCTAAAAACATTAGTCTCTTCTATCCTTCTACGGTATGTAAATATACTCTAGTTATAAACACAATTCTTCTTAACCATTTTCGCAAAATTTTTCCCTTTTCATAAATATATTATTAAATTATTTTGAAAATCTAAATAATATCACAATTGCAAATAAATAAATTTGCTTTTAAAATTAACACTGTTTAAACTATGTAATATTTACCTTGACATAACCACACTTTTCATCTATGTCAACACTGAACTTTAGTTCAATGCGCATGATCGACTTATTTGGTGATCAACTAGAACACAGTAGGCCAGTCGGTGAGTGCAAAAACTGCCCAAAAATCCGAACAGCAAAGTCTAAACGGTTTCTGGTAGTTTGGGGGCTCCTTATAAGAGCCCCACAGTTTGCTCTCGATTTCCGGGTGCGAAAAAGAGTGTAAACAATCGCCAAAGTTTGGAAAACATGGTTTTTCGATGCTCGTTGCTTCCGGTTAAGTTTTAGGGGAAAAAGTTGTTATTGAAAGTTATAGAGCTTGGAAATACCTTTCAAATGATGGGTCATACGTTAAAAAAGGTTAATTAGTTTAGTTGCAAATGAATTTAAACCATTAAAAATAGCACTTCTTTAATTGTTTAATAACATTGTTAATAATTATCGAATTTGTTCATAACTTACCAGGAATGTTCTCCTTGCGAAGCTGAATAAATCCCAAAAAAAATTAACTAGATCAGAGAAATAGTTTATGCATAATTCCATTTGTTAACTAAAAACATGTAATTTTTCAACGGAATTTCCCCACTTTTGGTCCATCGAATTTCGATTTTTTTTTTTGGAAAGTACACTTAAGAAGTCAAACTTTCATCCTATTTAAATGGCCAATTGATTTTTTTTATCTAAGTGCATAATAAAAAGGGTTAAAAAAGGGTATGTTTTTTTGTCATAAACAAATGGAATAACTCAGTCAATTTTCACTTTATCAATTTAGTGTAAACGGCATTTAATTTTATTTGTTTTCACAAAACTTTTTCAAAAAAAAAATCCAACCTAGTTTCAAGGGGGGGAGAGTTAGTTTTTATTTTTCAAAAAATTCCTGACTAGATAATAATTAATATTTTTAATTGAAAATTGTGCCACTTATAGTTCAATACATGTATTTTACGAAAAAAAATTGAACATAAGGTTTTGTGCATTTATTTTTCATTTACATCAAGTAAAAGTAAATACATCCTTTTTTCAACCTCTAAACGTCGGAGTGGGGGTACTCGGAGGAGCGTGATTCTCGCCGCCACAACTCAATTCAGCCGTTCAAATTTGCAAAAATTGTCATAACTTCGTTAATTATTTACCGATTTTAATCATTCTTTTTTTAATTTGATGTATTTTTTACGCTGAATCCAAAAATGATTTTATATTTTTTCAAAATACAATATTTTTAAAAATAAAAGAGAAAATTTTTTTAACAAAAAATTTTTAATTATTATTTATAACATTTGACAAAAAATTCTTTTCGTACATATAATTCCATTGCATTCAGAATAATATTATGACATGAAAAAATTCAAATTATTTTTATATAAGTGTGTAGCATTAGGTTCACATATGCACACCTGTCCAACTATCAATACAACGATGCTACACACTTATATAAAAAAATTTGAATTTTTTTATGTCATAATATTATTCTGAATGCAATGAAATTAAATGTACGAAAAGAATTTTTTGTCAAATGTTATAAATAATAATTAAAAATTTTTTGTTAAAAAAATTTTCTCTTTTATTTTTAAAAATATTGTATTTTGAAAAAATATAAAATCATTTTTGGATTCAGCGTAAAAAAATACATCAAATTAAAAAAAGAATGATTAAAATCGGTAAATAATTAACGAAGTTATGACAATTTTTGCAAATTTGAACGGCTGAATTGAGTTGTGGCGGCGAGAATCACGCTCCTCCGAGTACCCCCACTCCGACGTTTAGAGGTTGAAAAAAGGATGTATTTACTTTTACTTGATGTAAATGAAAAATAAATGCACAAAACCTTATGTTCAATTTTTTTTCGTAAAATACATGTATTGAACTATAAGTGGCACAATTTTCAATT